AGACCCCAGAGCCGTGAGACAATACACTTCTGCGGAGCTGAGCCCCCAGTCGGCGGCACTGGCCACCCGAGTTAAGTAGCACACTGAGCAAGGGCTTTCGCGGCGCTTCCTGATGCAAAGGGTGGGCAGCAGCAGTGTGCGGGGCTCAACACCAGAACTGCGCACATGTTTGGATGCTTTGTGAGGGCAATGGGATTCTGACATCACTTCGGAGAAGCTTATGCTGATCATCCGAAAAATGAAACCTTCTCTTCCTCTTTCAGTCATGTCTTGAACAGTCTGTCCCAGAGCCATGAGGCGGGAGCAGGCAGGGCCGGGGTGGCCTGGGGGTGGGGGTGGGCGGCAGTGGCCCTGAGTGGGGTGTCGGAGCCTGCGCTGGGTGAGGAGGGTCTGGGCTGGGGCTCTGGTGGTCCGTCCAGGTGTGCGGGGACCCAGGCCAGGTGAGGAGGACGGCAGCGGGGCGGGGGGGTGGGTAGGGCAGTGGAGGCAGAGGGAGCATGGCTACTGACAGGTTTGAGCAGGTGAGTCAATACTCGCAGGATAACGGCTGGCGTTTCTCTTTGGAGGAGCAGGAAGTCACAGGTACGGGAGGGGAGCGCTGGGAGGAATCCATGGTGTTGGACTGACATTGGAGTGTACTTGTACTTTTCTACAAACGTTACGTAGAACTAGAAATACACACAGACCTGAATGCTGTGTCCACTGAGACGGCGTGTGTACGTGTGTGTGTGTTTTGTGTGTGTGGGGTGCCCCATAGAAGGTGCCCCCAGCTCAGGGGGCTCAGAGGGGACAGGGCTGGTTAGTGCCCACCCACAGCTCCCATTTGCTGGACCCCAGCTCATCTCACGGGACCCTTCCCAGAGCCCTACCGGTAATTAAGAGCTGGGGTCCCTGTCCTGCTTCCCTGGAGATCCTTCCCACTTGAGCTCCCAGCCCCACCAAAGAAGTGGGGTGGGGAGGTAGAGGGCAGAGCTTGCGTGGGGGGTTTGGGGACAAAGACCACTGTGCAGCGGCACTGAGGGCAGAGAAGGACAGTGCAGGGATGATTGGCTGGCAGCCACCTCGCCCCACCCCTGTGCGCCCCTCCGGGACCTGGTGCGTGCGGCTCTGCTGCCATCTTGTGGCCGCTGTGGAACACTGACCTGAGCCCACGCCACCTCCACAGAGAGGGCTTCCAGAAGCGCCCACTCTGAGTCTGCAGAGCCGATCCAGGATGCCAGGGCCCTCCTCGCCCCTGTGGCCCCACTTAGGGGCAGCAGCCCAGGCCCAGGAGAGCGGCGCAACGACACTGTCGCGGGAGCTGAGGCTTCCTAGAGATAGCAAGTGCCCTTGAGAGATCGAGTCCCTGAAACTACCGGGAGTCAGAGGGCTGGATGTCTGCAGCAAAGGCCGGTCTGGATGGATAGGGTTCCACCTGTGAAGACATGTGTGGAGCATTTTCTTGACAGGTGCTGTGCTCCTGTCCTTTCGGTTCACCTCTCCTACAGCCCTATGAGGGAGCGACTGCTGTAACACATTTTACAAGTGAGAAACTGGAGAGGCACAGAGAGGTTAGGTAACTTGCCTAAGGTCACACAGCTCAGAAACAGCCGCGCCAGGATTTGCAGCTGTCTTGACAATTGAAGAGGTTGGATGCTGACTTTGGGGGTCAGGGCCCAGGCCCGGTGTAGGGTTCTGGTGCCTCAGGGGAGCCGGGAGGGCATGGGGGCTTTGCCGAGAGGCTTCCAGGCAGCAATGGAGAGCACTTCCTTCAGGCCCCGCGGGCTGCCTCCCAGGCGCCCTTTCTCCTGCCTGGGCGGGGCCCCACTTCCCCCTCCCCCCACATCCGTGGCCACGTGCCACTTCCTGAGGCAGCTGGGCCCAGTAGGAGCTGCTGGTGCCTCGTTAACCCTGCTCTGCGGGCGCAGCCCAAGGCCTCCTCCCCACCCCCCAGCAGCTGGTCCTCTCTGAAGGGGTGCCGAGAAACTTCCTGCGGCTGCTGAGTGATCAGCCCAGCCTGGCCAGCGCTGATGGCTCCTGCCAGCGCTCCTACACCGGCCTTTAGCCCCAGCAGCGCTTCCTCTGGAGGAGGGGCCCGGAGCGAGGGGGTGCCCATCGCGGCCCCCTCCAGAGGAGGTCCGGAGGCCTTCCCGGCCCCTCCCCGCCTGGCTCTCTGCGCCCCGCCCACCAACCCTCTGCAGCCTCGGCCCCCCCCCCGCGGAGGCCCCTCCCTCGCCTGCTAGCACCCTGACGCTCTGCACCGGTTTCCCCCTCTTCATTTCAGAGCAGGTGACACTTTCTGAATTCACATGTCTTTATTGTTCCCTTGCCTCCCATGTGACCCAACGGGGCTGGCACTTGGCCACGTTCACCTCCGTATTCTCAGTACCTAGACCCCTGCCTGGGGTGCAGTTGGCAATCCGCGGACCCCACACACAGGAAAGAATACACGACTCAGCAGCTGTAGCCACGATCAGGGCCACTAGCCCTTAAAGCCCCATGCAGTTCCCTGGGGCTTCCCGCAGACCCTGAGGGCGGGGGGGGGGGGCGGGGGGGGCAGGGTGTGGTGCTTAGATCCCTGAAGAGGTGCTATTCCCCCCACGCCACCCCAGTTGAACAGTGCTGTTGCGCACCTGGTGGGGAGATAAGGGAGGCGGCAGTGGTGGGGTGTGGACCAAGCAGGGAGGACAGGACACAGTGCATGAAGGACCGGGTCCCCATCTTCCATTGCTTACAGAGTGTGACTAGGCCAGTCCTTGCTTCCCCAAGCCTCAGAGTCCTCAGGCAGCTGTCGACCCCAAAGGGCTGCTGTGAGGCGTGTAAAGGCCAGGCGCTGCACACAGCAGCTCTGCTGAACGTGGGTGGGGAGGGCTTGGGAGAGTTGGGGGGGCTGCAGGGGAGGCAGCTCCCAGAGACCGTTTCTCACCTGTCCCATGAGGTGGCCCTGTCCCCCAGGCTCCTGAGTCAGATGCCAATACTGCGCCTGGGAGTCAGAGTTCACCAGGACAGCTGGCCCCACCCACCGCACGTGAGCAGTGTGTGCACGCCTGGCAGTCCAGCCAAGCCAGGTGAGGACGCGACTGCTCCATCATTGCAGATTTCTCTTATGTGACCCCAAAGGCTGCCAACCACAGCCGTGCGGGAAGCAGCTGAGAAAGGTGCATGTAAAGAAAGAGAGGGTCACAAAACCCAAGTGCATTAGGGGCCTTCCTCCTACATGGGGAATCAAGCACAAAGTTCAGCTGGCTGCTCCAGGCACGGGTGGTCTGGTGTGGCTGGCAGCCGGCTGGAACGGCCCAGGAAGTGGCCTCTGGAAGTGACCTGCTGTCATGAGCGCTGACTGGAGGCAGCAGGGCCCCCAGGATAAAGCCAGGGGGCCATTCCGACTGGGGCCAAAGTCCCCAGCACCTGGCCCCCTCTGCATGACTGATCTGAAGCAGGCTTGGACCGAGGCCTGGTGTCCCCGTGGAGGGAGGAGCAGAAAGGGCCCAGTGACAGCATGGCATGTGAACTTCGGCTTCTTCCCAATTTTGAGCAAGAGCATCCTCTGGGCACGGCTCGCCGGCCTCCACCCCTGCAGCACAGGGTTCCCTGCCCAGCAACAGAGCGAGGCTGCATCACCTCCTGGAGGTGCTCGCTGCCTTGTGAAAACCAGAGCCTTCCCGTGACCGGGGTGAAAACACCACTAATGGGTGCAGGATGCAGCAGGTAACCTCCAGTCGGCACCCGCCGAGCGTGGTGTGACTGGAGGGCCACCATCTCCCCAAAATCGGTCAGTCCAGGCTAGTGGCTGGCTGCCATGGGGAGAGCAGGATAGCTGCTCTCCCCCGCCCCCCCAGAAGAGACGGTTCAGGTTCGGAAATGGGTCAGACGTCCAGTCCCGCTGTTGCCTGTCCCCAGGCCTGCTCACCTTCAGGCTTTGAAGCACCCCCGTTTAGAGGATGGATGGGCCTAAGGTCCCAGTGCACCTGTCCACAAGCTGTTTTCCTTGTCCCTGGCTCCACCTGGAGGGCTGGCTGGTCCAGGTCTCTGTGTGCCCAGCCCCAGGCCACACCTCAAAGCGCAGGTCTGCCCGTCCACTGCTGCTGGGGCCTGACAGAGACCCAGGCCTTGCTCCAGGCGCTCCGACTCCCGTTCTCTGTGGGTGGGCCTTCCAGGCAGGCCGGTGCCCCAGCCCCACACCAGTCCCCTCCCTTCCACCACTGAGGGTTGGGCCCAGAGGCACCATCATGCCTCCAGCAGTGACTCTCGGAAATTCCAGACTGGAAAAAGTGGCGCTCCCAGGCTGGAGAAGGTGGACATTCCAGACCAGGACAGGTGGTACCCAAGGCCCGGGCTGCCGGCCGCGGGACCGAGATGAGAACTGACGCCCTGTGCCCGACCCGCCCGAGCTCCTTGAGCTGTGGGCTGAGGCCTGCTAACAGCCTCGCGCTGTCACCTGACAAACACGCCCTGAGGCACGGGGAGGAGGCGGTGCCCAGCTCGTGACAGAGAGGCACCCGTGCCCCTGCCCAGCAGGGCATCTCACACGAGAGTCAGTCGTGGCCTCCCATCAGTTGGACTAGGTGGTGACTTGCTTTGCCCAGGGCTGTTTCGAGGGTCCCATGAGCCTGTGTAGCGTCCAGTGCCTGGCACCTGGGCTCAGAGAGGACGTGGTCCCCTCCCTGCAGAAACATCTCCCCCCATCGACGGCATGTGCCCCCACCTGTGGCTGCTGTGCGGCCGCAGGGCAGGAGCCGGCTCAAGCGAGCACGGTGCAGTGAGGTGCCCTGCGCGGGCAGGGGCATCACTCAGAGGGGTGGCCGGGGGCCCCCGGCAGGGCGAACCGTGGCTGAGCCCGTGTGAGGTGCCTGCACCGGTGAGGCGTGGCTGGAGGCCCCGTCCTGCCACGCCACCTGCACCGCCTGCAGGTGCCATCCCCTGGAGGGTCCCCAGCCCAGGGCGCCCAAGTTGTCCCAGCCACCGGTGAGACCGAGAAAGTCACTCCCCACTGGGAGGCTGAACGCAGCCATCAGGGCGGTTTCTACCTTTTAATAGGGGGTATCATAAAGGCACCTCTCCCAGTACAAGAGGATCAACCAACAGGTGGGTGGCCCAAGCCCGGGAGGAAGAGGAAGGGCGGGGGCAAAGGCAGTGAGGAGACTGCGGGCCCCTGGCACGCCCCGAAGCTCCCCCGCGGCCTGGGGCGGGGGTACTCTGGCCCCACAACGTGCAGCTTCGTACCCAGACACTGTGCAGCTCAGCAGAGGGCCCCATCCCCGCCCTCGACAGTGGGCCAGAGCCTTCCGGCTCCAGGAGGCAGGGGCCAGGGGGCGGCCAAACACTGCGCAGGAGCTTCTGCGTCCAGCTCCCAGCCAGACCCTGACTGGTAGCGTGGGCTCTGCAGAGGGCTCCTCAGGGGACAGGTCCAGGGATGGGATCACCCAGGGCAAGGAGGGGCCACCAAGCAGCCAGCCTGTCTGTCCCAGGCCACCCAGGTCTCAGCTAAGTCCCAGCAGTCGGCTGGGGTGGGGAAAGAGGCAGGAGTGGCCGGGGTCCCCGTGAAGCACTGACCCGTTCCCCCGCTTCACCTGCTGCCTTCCCACTTCCCACATGCCCAACCTCAGGGAGGAGAGAAGAGGGTAACAAGCGACCCCCTAAGCAGCCTTAACACTGAAGGAGGGAGGGGACCCCAGCCCAGGGGGGTGGGAGCAGCAAGGTTTGGGCCGCAGGGTGCCAGCCCCCACTCATAAGGCAAACAGCATATCGTCATCTTTCTCCTGGGTCTTCTTTCGAGGGGCGGTGCCAGGATGGGGTCCCGGGGGCCCCTCGGCCGAGGGACTGGAGAGGTTGGGCAACCGATCAGCCACTTTGGCCCTTTCTTCCAGGAACTTGTCAAATTCTAGAGAAACAAGAGAGGCTGGGGTGGGCTCCAAGGCCTGAGCGGGGTGTAGGGAGGACGTGGGCGGGCGGGCAGGGCCTACTACCTTCGCTGGTGACACCCTTGGGCTCCTCCGCATCGTTCCCCTGAGAAAGCAGAAGGAGGCAGAAGTCAGGTGGGCAGGGGCGAGGCGGAGCGGGCCTGCCGAACCGGAGTGGCCCAGGCACAGGCTCTGCGGGCCGAGGACCGGGGCCTCCCCTCAGCCGCCCGACCTCGCATGCCACCTGCCCTCTCTGAGCCTGGGTTTCCTGCTTGGTAACGCACGCGGTTTGTTGGGGAGTGAAGGTGGAATAGCACAGGTAGAGGAGCAAGCACAGGGTGTGGGGCCAGCGGGTCCTCAAGTGAACGCCACTTCCCTTCCCTGGTTCTGGGGGGTTAGACAGACGCCCCTGTGGCGGGGAAGGCCGACACCCAGAGACTGAGGCCAGCACGCCGAGTTGGGGGTTAGGGGGGTGAACCTCTGTCACAAGACAGAACAGAAGGGCCTCGCCTGACCCCTGGCAGAAACGTGGTTTGGGGGCTTGTGGAAGGCAGCCTCTGGCCCGGAAGGGCCCAGGCACTTGGTTCTTGGCCCCCAGAGAGGGGGTGGCAGATGCTGGGGAGGGAGCTTACTGGGGGAGACGGCTTGGGCCCCCCGCCTCCTGGACGCAGCACCCCCTCCTCTCAGCTGCCCATCAGTCTCCAGATCTGGAAGGCGGGCGCGGCCGTGTTCCCTCTGCGTGGCCTGAGGGCTCCCTGCGCTGTGGCCGGTGCAGAGCCTGGCACTGTCAAGACTCCTTAGGTGCCCTCAGCTGACACCCACTGGGACCTCACGGTGGCAGCACGCTTGGGGGAGGGTGGGCACCAGCAGCCGCGAGGGGCGTGGGGCCTGGGAGGAAGCGGCCGGCCGGCAGGGGACGGGGCATGTCCAGCTGCTGAGGTGCCCACAGTAGTGCTCCCTTCGTCACTCACTAGCTGCTCACTGTGCCCCCATGACCAGCCACTTCCTTGTGAGGAAAACGGGAGCCCCGCTGGGGGCAGGCTGGGCGGGCCCCGACTTACCACGTCAGTGGACAGCCACTGCTCGATGTCCTCCATGAGGCAGGCCTGGGTGACGGGGATCTGGAAGGACCGGAGGAGTGAGGCGGGGACGGGCGGTTGCCCTCCCCGGGCCTCCTCACTTGCGGAACGGGCCAGGCCTGCCGCGCCCCCTCAGGGAGCCGCGGTCCCAGCATCCCCTCCAGGAGGACTCTGCCCGGCTGCCTGGGGCCCTCGGTTCTGCCCGTGGTGCTGGGCTGTGGGCAAGGCCGGTGCAGGGCCAGCGGGCAGAGCAGGGGCCAGGAGGAGAAAATGGACCTCCAGCTCCAGGCACTGAGGGTGCAGGCAAGGCCTCAGGCTGCAGGGGTCAGGCCTGGTGCACAGTCCCAGGGGAGGGGCTGGGCAGAGGTGCACAGGGGCATCTGACAGAAGAATGAATGCATGGAGCCCAGGGGAGGGTCCGCCATCGAGGCTGGGGTGGGGGTGCGACTGTGCACCAGGGGCCGCCAGGTGCTGTCTCCCTGTGGGCCCACAGACTCAGAGCGCAGGGCGGAAGGGCCGAAGTGCAGGGAGGTGCTGAGAGGCCTGAAACGGCCCAGCTGGCGGACTCAGACGCGCTGAGGCTACGCATGAGGCCATTTCACTCTGGGCCACAGAGACGTGGCTCTACCACACCGGCTCCTGCACGGGGCAGGGGGCGGGGCGGGGATGGGGGTGGGACTGGGGCTGCAGGCTTCCTTCTCTGAACGCTTCCTCAGTGCAAGAATCACTTGGAAATTCTGGGCAGATTTTGGAGTCAGAGGCTGGAACCTGGCTCAGCCCCTCAGTCCAGCAAGACTTTGGGCAGGTTCCTTCCCCCGCTGAACCTCCCATCGCTCCTCTTCACAGAGAATAACGACAGTACCTACCGTCCCTGGTGCTCTGAGGATTAAATGAGATTAGGGCTATAAAGAGCTTAGCACAGTGCCCAGCACCGAGTAGACGCTCAAGAAATGCTAGTTACCAGTGAGCCACTTTGGGAAAGGGGGAGAGTGAGTCTTTCTCCAAACAAGCCAGTTCGATCCCCAAGCTCAGCCTCCAGCAGCTGAGGCCCCGAGTGGGTAGCAGGAAGCTCAGAGAGGAGGCAGGAGCCACCTTCCCAGCAGCACCAGGGGCACCAGCACGTGCCCTGGGCTGTCCACACCAGCTCCCTCGCCCCTCAGCTCTCCGCCGGCACTCCGCCCAGAAGCAGGCAACCCGTCACCTCCAGCCGCCAGACGGGGGCGCCCAGGCCTTGCGTCCAAGTCAGGCACCGCGAGTGGGCACCAGGGGGCCGTGGAAGCAGGAGCGGAGGGAGCAGGACCACACCGAGTGCTGGGGTGGGCGCAGCAGGCCCTTGGCTGTCCAGGGGCTTGCGGCGCCCTTTGTTCTCCCCTGGACCTATCGGTCCTGCTCCCTCCGACGGTACCACCAGGGCGGGGCCCCCAGGAGTGACAGCCCCAGCTCTTGGGGTGGCCCCTCCTCACCATGCCTTGTCTCACCATCCAGTCACTGAGGCTCTTCTCACTGCTGCCTCCCATCTGGTGGAGAAGGGTCACACTGAGGGAGGCAGGGGCACAGGGCCAGGGCCGCTGTGGGCTGCCCAATTCTCTAACGGGGACGCTCCTTTCAGGCCAGCGGGCCTGCTGCCCCCTTACGAGGCCTGTGCGCGCGCACATGTGTGCGTGGGGGCGCATGCACGCCTGCGCAGGCGTGTGGTGGGTGTGGTGGCGGGTGAAGGGGCAGGACGCAGCAGAGGGTGTCCCACTGCCGGGGGACCACAACAGCCCCGGGCCACCAGAGCGCTGATGGGCTGGGCACGGCTTCCCCGCCCTTTCCACAAGGACCCCAGGGAGCGGCCCTGAGCCAGGGATTTCGGGGGATTCGGACAGGCACCTCAGGCTGAGATGCACTGGTCTACCCAGTCCCCTCAGGCTTATGGATGGCAAACGGGAGACTCCTTGGGCCGCAGAGCAGATGGGGAAGAGGGAAACCAGGGTCCTGCCTCCCTGCCCCAGACAGACCCCACGTGGGGCTTCACACACACATCCACACCTCACAGGACGTGGGAATGGAGGGTGGGGGCAAACACTGGCTGCCACAGAGCTGGCGCCTGATTCCATGCTGCACTTGGCTGTTGGAAATCATGTTCTGACGGTTCAGCAGGAGAAAGTCTTGCCACCCGCCAGGCTTAAGCACCTTGGGAGCAGGTGTTCATCGACATGGTTTTAAGAAAGTCATACCCGGATCTGGTGGAAGTGGCTTAAATCTCTCAAGTTATCAGAGATGAATGAGCCTTCACTGATCGGTTTTTGCTTTTCTGCCAGCAGGGGGCATGCATCTTTGCTCCCGGCGGCTAACTCCAGGATGGTGCAGGAGCCAGGAGACCCAGGTTCTGGTTCTTGGCATGCCCCCAGGCTGCCTGTGCCCCTGGGCAGGTGGCACCTGTCTCTGGACTGCAGCCCCTGCATCTGCCACAGGAAGGGGCCGGCTGGGATGGCGGCTGCGGGCCTGTGGACTGAGCCCCTGCCCACGAGAGGCCAGGGGGCCCCAGAGGGAAGTGCTTCCAGCAGGCGTCCAGAGCGCCCAGGTTCATCTGGTTCCCGCAGCCAGACTGCCGGCCTCTGGGGAAGGAGGCCTGAGCAGGGAGCGTTCGCCTCAGCCCCCTCTAGTTTTGCAGGCCCTTGGGATTCTCGCTACTAGCACCAGCTCAGGAGCCAGACAGACCAGCAGGTGAGAGAGCCGGGCAAACTCCTTCACAGCTCTAAGCCTTGGTGGTCTCTCCTGCACGTGGAGAAGCAACTCCACGGTACGGTGACGACTAACTGCTTCCCGGCGTGCCAGGCCTGTGCTAAGGATGTCATAGCTGTTGGCACGCTTACCCTCCCTCTGGGACTCTGTGCCGCACCAGCAAAGGGGACAGTAGCACACGCTAAGGGTCTGTGTGATGGCTGGTAAGCGGGGAGTAGAGAGCTTAGCACAGGGCCGGGCACAGAGCGCAGGTCGACAGACGACCGCTTACCAAGAGCAATGATGGGAGGCTCCATGAGGTGACGGGCACACAGCGCACATAGGAGGCCCCCGACCCCCTCGCTGGCCAGGCCTGGCCCTGCTCTGACGTGGGAACGAGCCCTGGGATGCTGGGGAAGTCTCTGGGAATGAGCCGGGGGTCCCCCCAACCCCCGCCTCCCAGCAGTAGACTGGGCGGCTCCCACAGCCTCCCCACTGCTCTCCCAGCTTCCACGCTGGCTCCTTCTGACACAGAAGCCAGATGAATGTCCCCCTCGGCTCAAGACTGCCCACTGGTTCCTCCTCACGCAGAACGAACCGCACAGTCCTCCCAGCAGCCCCTCAGGCCCGCTGGTCCCTGCTGCCACTGCAGCTCTGTCCCACCAGCTAGTCCCACCCCGGCCTCAGAAGCCCCGTGCTGTCACCAACCCCTTTCCTCTGTGGGCTACGTCACTGCCCCTGTCTCTCTGAGCCCCGGGAGCTGCTGTTTCCGACCACCTCCCAAGGAGCAACCCTATCCACTTACTGGGACAGAAATTCTCAATGTCCGGACAACATCCGGACACAAATTCAACTGTAGGAGACGTGTGCTTGGAGTTCTTGCCAAGGGGGTGGGGAATGTGCTCAGTGCTGGTACTTGGCTGTCACTCAATACACAGTCTTCACTAAAGGGAACTACAATGGCGCCCAGAGTGCCGCCTTGTGGTTGCAGGGTGGAAGGGCAGGCAGGCAGCTGGGAGGAAATGCAAGGCTGAGGGGCTGGGGGCGCAGCAGGGGATGGTGCAGCTCTACTTTGCCCCCTCTGTCCACACTCCTGCAAAGAACAGGTCTGCAGAGAGATAGTGAGCTACAATACTGACTGAGCTCTCAGTCTGCGCCAAGCACCTTAAGCGCACCCTCTCCCATATCCTATTATGAATTGTGTCGGCACACGTGAGCTCCAGTGTACAGAGGAAGAAGTTGAGTCAGGAAGGTAGTCATCTGCCTAAGGATACACAGCTGGTGGAGTGGCCCTGGGCGAGAACCCAGGCTGCCAGACTCCAGCTCTGCCTCAGACTCAGGTCTGAGCCGTTGCTCTAACCTCCCTGCCACGTGAACTTGGGCAGATGACCATTCCCTCTGTGAAACGGGAACACTTATATCAGCTATGAAGAGCCAATAGGAGAACCAGATGAGGAGAGGGTGGCGGGCCTGCCAATCCAGTGCCCGGCGCACGGGGGGCATGGCGGACAAGCGTTCCCTGCCTCCCTTTGGCCCTCTGCTCACCGCTCCGGTGCTTTGCTGCCGGGCATCGAGGGCTCCAGCCAGGCCGTCTGTAGCTTGGGGGTCTTCGTATTTTACCCTGAAACAGAGGCCACCGTGGCCGTTAGATGCCGCCCTGGCTGGACCAGGTGTGCCAGCTGAGAAGGGAGGGAGGGAGAAGGGCAGGGACGAGCTGGACTCACATCCCGTGTGGACCTGGGCTGTGCCGGGGCAGGGCCGGCTCAGGCCCCCACTTCCCGCCCCGGGAACCGTGTCGGGGGTGCAGCTGTGTGGCCGGCGGCAGCACGGCTGCAGGAGGCCAAAGGCGGAACGAGATCGCCGACAGCCGTCACTAGGTTTGGCCAAACTCCAGGGACGAGACATGGGGCCAGTGACCCCGTGCTTGTGGAGCAGTCCTGTCTCAGGACCCCTTCTGAGCGGGCCCCGCGGGATGGCTGTGCAAGCCGGGGCTCTGCTGAGGCTGCTGAACAGGGATCCCACTCGGCCGCTGCGCGCGGGCAGGCTGCTGGCCCACCGCATGGCCGTCTGGCGCGGCCCTCCTGCTGTGGCAGCGCCGTCGGGGGTGATCCTAACCGTCTTCTGGGGCTGCCAGCCAGTCGGGTCGGGGGGTGGTGGTGAGGAGCTGGGGGGGACAGGGTCTGAGACTGCAGGTCCCGGGGCAGATGAAGTCAGGGAAGGAGGTGTCTGCTGGATCTGAGGGGAAGTCTTAGCAGGAACGAGAGAATAATCCAGGAGCAGGAGGAAAACCTGGGCTAACGAGGGGGCCTGGGTGTGTCCCCTGATGCTAGAGAGGGGACGTCCAGATCACACAGCCCTGATGCTTGGAAAGAGCTGTTGTTCCTACTCTGAACCACCGGCAGAGAGGAGGAGAGACCTCAGCCCTGGCTCAGTCCGGCACCGAGGAAGACGTGAGCCCCAGAACCCCGGTTACAAAGGAAATCCCTGCACAGGTAGAAACGAGGGATCTTCCTGCAGGTGCCGGTGGGCTGTGGGGTGGGGGGGCCACCCTCCACTCCAGCGAAGCCAAGGCAGCACCGCTCCAGGCTTTGGGAACAGGGACCCTGTCACACTTAACTGCGGCAATGCTCATTTACCCTCCCGGGGAGAGGCCAGGCTGGTAATTCAAGGGGTCACTTGAACAAGCACTGTGCCCCAAATTCCCATGCAGCCGCTCTGAAGAGCGCGGCTGCCAGCTTGTTCATCCCCAGGTGCGTGGCTCTCGCCCACGGCAAGTGGGCAGGGGACAATCTGCAGGGCCCTGATGGGGTGGCCTGAAAGCTGAGTGGCGGGTGGCTCGCTCAGGCCCTTCCAGAGTAGCCTCGCGCCCCTGGCTAATTCTGGGCAGTAAGCACCGGCGAGGAGGAAGTGGTGCCAAAAACTGTGTAGTGCACCCTGACCCAGGGAAGGTCTGCTCACCCAGGGTGTGGAAGCAGTCATGTTGCTGTCCCTGTACCCAAGAAACAGCAGGTGCCTTGTGGACAAAGGCAGAAAAAGGCACGTCTAGGAACATATAAACTGGTGCTTCCCTTCACTCTGCATGTAATTAGGGAAGAACATGCATGTTCACACTGCATGTTCTCCCCTAATTACTCTCATCACCTCTACTGCTTCCCGGCTCTCTCGCACATGCACACACCTGCACTGCCCTGAAGGCCGAAGCTCAGCCATCCCCAGGGGCCATGCCTGCAGCAGCGGAGGGCCTGGCGTACCCACACGGAGGACAGCCACACAGCCCAGGTGGGGCTGCAGACCTGGGCCAGGCGTCTGAGGTCCTACGGCCAGCACAGGAGGGAGGGCTGCTCCTCAGATAGTCCTGGGAGGACTGGTGACCACAGGCTGCACCTGGGTCACTTAGGGTGCCACAGTGGTTGGCAGAAAGTAGAGCGTGTCCTCAGAATGATGATGTGGAAGAAGCTGAGGAAGAGCTCCTTGCTTCCGCCAAAGCCTGGCTAAGGCACCCCTGGCCTGGCTCACCCGATGCCCTGTGGCTCTCCTTGGTGCCCCGAGGGGAAACGCCTGGTTGGGCAGAGAGGCCAGGACTGCGCCAGCTGCGGCCAGGGATGGGCAGACAGCGGGCCTGACAAGCGCTGGCTTCCTGGTGGGGGAAGGCACAGCTGGCACAGCTCAGGGCGGGGCCTGGGCCAGACACCCAGTAGATAGAACAGGGTCAGGTGAGGAGTCCCAAGGCCACCAAGCGACCAGGGCTAGAGATCCAGCTGGAGCATAAGGGAGGGGGCCAGGCAGAACAGAGGACAGAGAACTCCAAGCTAGGGCACATTCCTGTCCCCTGCAGGGCGCTTTCCCTGGTGTGGAAACCAATCCCGGGGGCCTGCGGGAGAACCCAGGACCTGAGAAGGTACCTGACGCTGTTTCAGGCCCTTTGCCCTGCCCCTGCCCCATCTCATGCTCTTTCCTGTCTGAGCCTTTGCACGTGCTGTTCACATGGGCTGAAGTAGCCATCTGGACATCCCCCACCCTGCTGTCCAGGCCACGGTGCCTGGTACACCCCTCCAGGACAGCACTCAGCACTGTACGGCAGTGGTCGTGTGCGCGTCTCTCTCTCAGAGTTTGCAGAAGCTGGAGGGAATGTTCCTGGTGTGCTTTCCTCTGTCCCTCAGGGCCTCGCTTCGGTAACAGCAAACCTCAGCCAGGTTGGTGAGCTGGGCCAGGTGCCAGGGGCTCTCTGGTGTGGCCAGTGTGCCACCTGCCGAGGCCTACTGGGGTGGGCCACCTCCTGGCTGTTAAATCCCACCGGACTCATTAGCTTCTGCCTGCAATGGCAGCCTCACAGTGTCCCTAACTCCATGGCAACTGTGGGCTGCTGGTCCCAGAGCACCTGGGCTTGGGACGACAGACTCTGTCCGAATAATGATGTGGCTCAGGGATCCTCAGCCCTCCTTTCCCTAGAGCTGGCTCTGGCCAGTGGGCAGGGCTGTGGGCAACTCCATGTGACCAAGGTGGCTACACCTGGATTTGCCAGTGTGGAGGGTATCTCTGGGCCCTCTGGAAGCCTGTTGATAGTTTCCAAAGACACCAGAATTACCACCAGGGAGCTGGAGGGTCTACGAGGAAGGCTCCTTAGTCCCAAGCTTTCCTCGGCTGTCTGTCCTGGCCAGCTCCAGCTCAGGCGTGGGCCCTAACTCAGCCTCGGCACCCTGCTTCCTTAACGTGCCTGCAGGGAGTGCGTCACAGGACAGAGGCCGGGGGCTGGCATGAGCCCTGACTGCTGAAAGCACCCCTTGGAAATGGACAGTCCCCAGGGAAGGATGGAAGCCCAGCTCTGGGGCATAGTGGTAGACTTGAGAAGGGCAACAGGGTGTATGGAGCAACAGAAATGACTGGACATGCCCCTGAGGGCCCATCAGGAACCCCTGCCTGCCCCAGAGGGCACAGCACACAGTGTACAGTGCAGCGGGGCCTGAGTCGGGCTGGAGACACTGGGCCTGCACCAGACAGACATGGGCTCCCAACCCAGGAAGCCACTTAGCTGCCTGACCCTGGGCAAAGGGCCCGGCCTCTCTGCATCTCGGTTTCCTTATCTGATCAGATTATGTAAGATTCTGGCATGCAGCTGGTTATCAACCACGAGGCCATCCTCCCCGCATCCGGCTCTGCCTACGCTCTGCCTACTGGGTGCTCAGCCTGCCCCCTGGCCGCCGGCTCTCTGGGCTGTGTGGGGCTGACGTGGGGAAAAGTGTTCCGCCAGCCCGAGAGGGGATGGGCAGGGGCCGTGTGCCTTTCCACAGGGTGAGCCCGCCAGCAAGCCGGGTGCAGCGGCCTGCAGAGGGACTTTTCTCTGGCAGGGAGCTCCGCAGACTGCAGGGGATTGGGGTGGGGGGGCACTCACTCTTTCCGCTGGTCAGCCAGCGAGCTGCCCCGTGTCAGCGCAAACATGTCGAACTCGTCCTCCACCCGGCCAGAGGTCTCCAGAGACTGCAGGCCAGCTCTCACACTGCTGGAGCCCAGATCTGTAGGGACAGAAAGGCCATGTGAGACGCTGCCCGGCTGTTCTTGCACATGCCGTGGCCACGCTGCTCGCTGCTGGGCCCAGGGCTGGCCCTGGAAAAGCAGCTCGAGTGGAGGTGAGCCAGGGCAGGATGTGTGAATGGGGCAGGCCACCTGCTGGCTGGGGGACTGTGGGCAGTCACTTCTCTCGAAATGATTTCCTAGGGCTTGGCATAAAGCAGGTCGTCCATCACATTAAAACTAATCATGGTGATACGCCAGCGATTGCTAGCGCGTGCCAGGAGCGTGCTCCGCGCCCAGTACTGGTCTAAGCAGGGGTCATCCTGCGCTTCCTCAGTCCTCATGATGGCCTGGGAGGAAGGGCCCACTCCTGCCGCTCCCGAGGAAGAAAGAGGGACACAGGACGTTCAAGTGACTCGCCCAAGCTCACCCAGGTAATTCAGGCCACGGGGGATTCAGTGTGGAGGGGCAATCTCAGCACAGTGGGGTTTCTGGGGTTTCAGAGGGCTCAGTGGCTGTGGGGCTGTGAGGGAGAGTCACACATGTTCTGTCCTGGCAGCAAGGTTGGGGTGCCGGTGAGGTGGGGTCTGGGCTGATGTTCTGCTGTTGGTGCTCCAGCTCCAAGTGTATCACTGGGTGGCACCCCCAGAACTGCAGGGGCACCCCGCACTTACTCATTCCTGCCAGCTGGGATGAGAGGCTGCTGGTGGCTGCTGGGTCAGTGCTCATGTCGATGAGGTCAGCGGCCGTCTCGGCCTCACTTGGGGCCTGGGGGGGAAGGGACAGGTCACCGTCATCTTCCTGCCTGCAGCCTTGGTCCCCTCAGCTTGAAGCACTGGCGCCTGCCTGGGGAGCTGTCACCCACCAGGGCCCAGGCAGCTGTGACTTGGGAGTTTTTCTTTCTCCCCTTGGCCTCTAGCTCTGCTGTTCCCTCTGGGAGGATGGGAAGACCCTTGGGCATCCACTGGTGGCGGAGCCTTAAAGCGGCAGTGACACTAACAGTGAGGAGGGGACTGTTCTAGGAGCCTAGATAAGAAGGCACCTCCTGTCCAGGATACGGGGCTGCAGGGCGGGTGAGCACAGCGTTGCATCTCCCTGTAAACAAGGCCATGGCCTCGTCACAGGAAGGAAGCTGGTTACCTTGGTGGTCTGGCCTGTTCGGATCCGCTCAAACCTACGAGGCAAAACGAACTGAGTCAGGGAGACAGACTGAGAGCCCGGGGCATGGCGCAGGTGGAGCCTGGCACACTGCAGGGCCTGGCCACGCAGCGGGCCGCGAGGGTGGCAGCACATCTTGTTTGTCCTGCACAGACCCAGCTGACACCTGATGTCCCCAGAGAATTGTTAGCCGGCCCTTCGTTCACTCGCAGAAGTGCTCCAATTTGGGTTGTCAATTATCTGGCCACTCCAGTCACGACCAGCATTACACAAACGAAGAGACTAGGGGAGAAAGGAAGCAGGAAGGCCCAGCGCACGGGGGCGGTGAGCGCTCTCTTGTGGAACTTGCTCCATAATACCCTGCGTGTCCGTGTGTGCGCCAGTGGCTCCCTATGGTGGTGTCAGACAGACACACGTCCTCACCTGGCACCGGCCTGAGCTCACTCTCACAGGCCAGGCGGGGAGGGGCCGAGAAGACCTTGGTCTGGGGTGTGTTTCAGTCCCAGTCCTGTCACTTGTTAACTGTGACTGTGGGTCAATCACATCCCTTCTGAACTTTAGTCTCCTTGTCTATTAAACAGGGGGTGACAGCGGAACCCGCCTCCTAGGTGGGAGGGTCCAGTGAAGACACTGAACATGACTGTGACTGTGAATGTTAATGACTGTGAACGGGAAGGCACCGTCGAGCAAATGCCAGGCCTGACACCAGTGGGAGTCAGGGGGAGTCACCTCTGGGGCCACCTCACAGCCCACACCCCAAAATGGCAGGGAGAGGGCCCATTTATTCCACTGGGAACATGAGCAGGAGAGGCCGGCAGGTGCCGGCTGCGGCAGCCCCACCCGACTCTCGAACTGATTTGGATTCACTCCCAGTGTGTCTGCTGATGGATAAAGATACAAAATGAACGAGGGGCGGAGGAAGCGGAAGTGAGCGGCGTCCTGGACCAGATACCCTGACTGATCAGAGCTTAATGGGCATTACTGTGTGGACTCTCAGTTGCCCTACAGGGCAGGTGCCACCACGAACCCCATCTTATAGAAACGGGGATATGTAGGGGTGCTGTTTCTGCAGACCCAGCACCCCTTCTCCGTTCTTTTGTAATAGCACCTAAGTGCTTCTCCGGGGACCTGCTCTTCCCCTATTTCCCACGATCCTGGTGGGACTGCCATTGAGGGGCCCTCTTGTCCCCCCACCGGTGGGCATGACAAAGCTGAGCCAGAGCTCCTCTTGGGGGATATGACCCCTGAACAGAATGATACAAGCACCCACTTATTGATGGGGACACAGTAGGGACATGGTCCAGGAGGTTCTGCCCCAGAGACCCCTGAGCAGCCCTAGGACCTGTTCTTCCTGCTGGGCTGGGAGGCCTCACGGTCCCACTCTTCTTTGGATTCGAAAGCTACGCATTTAATAGAAGCTATTCATCTAATCGATCCCTTTTCTGTTTAGGTCGGCCAGAAACGCTGTATGTGGCCTGCAGTCAAAGAGCCCTATCAGGTCAAAGTGGTCCCAGGCCCCAGAGCCAGGCAGGGGTGGAGGGCAGGCCAGGCCTGCTGGCTGCGGCCCATGCTCGCCGCCAGCACGCTGCTGTCCCAGGGCTGGACGCAGGGATACAGATGCGGGGCTAACTCTGACCAGGAGAAGAGAGGTGGGCGGAAAGCCGGGCACACACGCCAATGCTGGGAGAAGACAGCAGAGGACATGCGCACCGGACGGCCAGGCACCGGTGTTTGAGAGGGAGGTGGGAGCCGGTGGGTGGTGTGGGGAGGGCGGGAGTACAAGGCGGCAGGGGAGGGGGGTGGCTACCGTTCGTGGCGCAGGAACACGTTGTTGAGATTGTCGTTGACGATGAGCAGCTCCTCGGTCAGCTGCTCGTTGGCGATCCGGGGGATGAGCTCCAGCACCCGCTGCTGCATGGCTCGGCACGTCCGGTTGAGCTCCTGCCGCAGAAGCGAGTGAGACAACTGTGGCCACTGGGCCCGGAGTGAGGCCCTCTCTACTGGGTGGGCCTGGCCTCTGGGTGTGCCCTGGGGGACCGAGTGGTTTCTAGACTGGACTTCCACAGAACAGCTTCAGGGGTTCTACAAGCGAGCCTCTGCATCTCACTTCTCAGTGTCCCAAGCTAATGTTTAATTAATGTGTTAAAGGGCGCTGCTGGTAGAACCTGGCTGTGCACAGACTTCAGAAGTCGGTTCCGCCGTCTTTGCCTAACTGGAAAACCAGGAGGCTGGCTGAACAAACGGCACCTTCTCTGGGTGCATTGTTTTGTTTTGTTTTTTTAAACCAAGCACAAAAAATGAGCTAGGTGACTCCAACTATTATCCACAAACCTGTATGTTGAATCTTTCCCTCATTATCCTCAGACTTATTTTTTAAAAATACTTTTGTTTTGGAATAATTTTAGATTTACAGAAAAGTTGCTAAGACAATACAGAGAGGTCCCAAAACCCTTCATCCAACTCCTTCTCAGCCCAGCGTTTGCAGAAAGTAAGACGCTAGCATGGGGCGATGCTATGCACACAACTGCAGATTTTACTCAGGTTTCGCCAGTTCTGCCACTAGCGCGCCTTTGCTGTTGCTTCATTCATCCAGTCGCCGGCTGACCTTTAACCAGTAAGCTTTATGTATTCAAATTTGTTTGGGAAAAAAAAAAGGCCACAGTGTTACAAGCATTTCATTTGCAGGACTGGGTGTTCTTTGTTCAGGGACCTGCCACCTGGTGGACAGGTGCCTGGGTCACGGTCTTGAGGTCCAAACAGACTACGGTCAGGCATTGGTGCCTGGGACCACACCCAAACCCTCTTCTGGAGGTGGCATAGGGACTAGACACTGCCCCTGTATCGATTTGGGTTCTTTTTGGACCCTGTTACCCGCCCACTACTAGGTCAGGCCTTTTCGTCCTGGGATTTCCTTATCTGCTTTTAGCGTGACTTCCAACAGCCGGTGGTCTCCCCTCTCTTCCTCCCATGACCAACCAGACTTATGGCTTTGTTCCCACTTCCTTGTCTTCTCAGGAGCAGCAGCTGGAGCCAGGCTGCAGGGTTCAAAGCCCTGCTCTGCGGCTTACCAGCCATGTGACCCTCGGCCCATTACAGGACCTCCCGGCCTCCGCCTGCTGCCCTAGAAAGTGGGGATAAGAGTCCCTACCTCATGGAAGAGGGTAGAGAGTGAGTGAATGTATATCAAGCGCCCACATCAGAGCCTAGCGCGTGGGAAGTGCTCAGTGCACACGGGCCGTCTGTCAGCCAGCCTGCCTGCTCCAGCAGTCACTCACACTGCAGGCCCTGCCTTGGGACACACAAAATTAAGAGCAACCCTGCTGCTCCCTAACTCACTCAAGCTTCTATCATAAGCCCGCGAACAGTCTTCACAGTCCTGTGTCCTTTCAATTCCGAGACTCTGGCTTTACTCCCGCACCGCCCCCCCGCCCCCGCCCTCTGCCAAAGAGGAAGACCCTGGGTCAGCTCAGTTGGACACAGTGACACAGGGATAGGCCCAGCACAGCCCCGACCTCAAGGAGTGTGAGGTCCAGTGGGAGGCGGCCACACAACGAGACAATCACACCAAGCACTGCATCCCCTCAAGGGCCCCCAGCTTTCTCAGCGCCTCTGGGAACGGACCTCCATGGGGAAGGGGCCTTTTCCCTAAGCCGGCTCCTCCTGCTTACGAAACTCTCATGTCAAACTTGTACCCCAAAGGCAACTCTTAGAGCGATCTCACAGATGAGGACACTAAGGCAGAATGGCTATCCTGAGTTCCAATCTAATGGAGCCCCAAGTGCCTGGTTTTAACATCTCCCACGGTGACCAAGGAGCTCAGAGTAAGCATGAGAACTGTCCTGTGGGTGGGGAAGGAAAGTGTATGGTCAAACAGCAAGAAGTCACCTGGGGGGGCAGACGTGCGCTCACCTGTAGCAGCTCCAGGTCTGCAGGCTCTGCCTGGGTGGGCACCAGCTCCGCCAGCATCTCCGACATCACCCTCACGTTCCCACTCACCATCTCCAGCTCGCTGCGCAGCTTCCCGATCTGAAACACACCATTGGCCCGGTGAGAGGGGCCAGGGGACTGAAGCCAATGCTGCTCACAGGGGCAGCACCTGGAGCCGCCGGTCCCGGGTGCGGTGCCCAGAGGAGCTGACCCGCCGGCACCCTCTCTTGGCTCCCGGGGCACCGCCCTGCACTAAGGGCCCAGGTGGGCTTGCCCTGCCCCACAGCCCCTCTACATAGGCTCTAGTGACTGTTACCATCTCCAAACTGGGGAGCCTGGTGCAAGGAGAGGCCGCCAGGAAAGCAGCGGAGGGCGAATGCGCCACAGAGCACTGCGGGAAGGCTCCAGCATCTCCCGGCTCCAAGGGCGGCTAACAGGGCCCTGAAGGGCAGCTCCCCCAGGGAGGGGAGAGTCAGCTGGCCTGCTTCCCTCCCCGGGTGATGGGCTTTCCCCTCTCCTCCCTAGGATGGCAGGGCTTTTGTCTTGCTCCTGGTCCGTTTCTTGCCTCTGGTCTACGCTGGTGTCCCAGACTCTCCTGAGGATGAATCCCAGTGCCACCCCCACCGTGAGTACAAAGCTCAGATTTAGCCGTTGTTAAAGGGATAGTTGAGCACTTGTTAAAGGGACGTTAGCTGGCTTTCAGTGACCTAAAGGTCCAAGTCTTGGCTTGGGGAATCGCTGTCAATCAAGCTGCACAGTCCTTTCACAGGGGTGGGTTGGTAGAAAGCTAGAGTATCTGATGCTGTGGGGTGCTGTGGGGTGCTGTGGGGTGCTGAGTCGCCTCAGGAAGGCAGTGTAACTGTGGATGGCTGGGAAGGGATCAGGATGGAAGTTCCAAAATTAATCTGGCTGCAGAGAGACCTTTCATCACAGAACATCTCACGGGTCTAGTATGAGTGGCTGACATCTTGGGAAACGCTCATACATTTTAAATCAGGTGACCTGGCTGGGTTCAGAATCTGAGTGTCACCATGTAAATTCACGATGCCTGTGGCAGCTGCTATCACCACCTATGAAGTGCCCAGCGTTTGGCATTCATTGCTAATTAAACTTGACCACTGCCTGATGAGGTCCCTGTCATTATAACCCAGCCTTTGCAGACGGAGACATGGCACGTAGACACAGGTGGCACATCCACCATGGTTCACTGACACCTTCCAAACCCGAAAAACACTGGATACATTTGGCCTATTTAATGAACACTCTCGGTATAAGTGAGTGGAAAAACTACTGATCACAAACCCAGCGTGTTCAGGTCAGATGGGACCCAATTACAACGAGTCTGAAAGTTATATCACTGAGTGCTGAAAGTCTTAACATGTCCCAGGAGACAACAGAGGACTCTGAAATTAAACAAACACTCAGTTTTGTTTAGGAAGAACCTTCTTGCACTAGACAGAATCAGAGCCTTAACCTACCTAGGTGCTAGACTTCAGGCAAATTGGTTTAAAGTCGTAACCAGGTAAGATAAATGTTGGATCACAAGGTAATGTTACAAGTTTTAAGTACCTTTAATTATTTGTCCAAACTTTCCTAGTAATATCTGTTACTCTGGAGGTGATTTTGTAAGATATCAGAGTACAGAAGTGTCTCTTCAAACAGCGAGGGTGTGAAGGCTGTTTGGTAAGTGTGACACCACTCTGGGAAGTCAAGTTTCACGTGTCTCCACCAGAGACCTCTGTCTTTTTCACCAGCGCTTTCGGCAGCTCCGCTTTTACACTTAGCTGATGTGACATGTCTGAAGTTTGCAAAACACCTCAAAGTGGGCACCCGGACAGTGCAAGACCTTGACCCCTACCCCAGCAGCCACAGGACGGAGCAGCCGGCTCATGCTGGTCACGGCTGTGGGCGTCCCTCTAGGGGGCGCCGCGTCAGCACGCCACAAACTGCTCCTGGCGCAAGCAAGGCACCTCGCCTCCAGCTTTAGGAGGAAGAAACTGCGGGACAGAGGCCCACTAAACCAGCGTGACACCTAGTCCGAGGACTGTGGTCCTTCAAAGCCACTCACAGGGCCCGGGGAAAACCTGGGCCGGGCCCACCCCCTGGAATCTTACACTTGCCTCAAATCTTGGGGTTTCACGGGCAGCATTGGGATGCAATGCAGGAGGTTTTTAAAATTACTTTTTGTGCAGATGTTTTAAAACTGTTTCTAGCCAGAACCTCTGCTCAGATGGAATGTGAGCACACAAGCAAACCGCACTAAGGAAGTGGAGCTGCTGGGGCTGAAGGGCCGCCTGCTGGGCACGTCCTCTCCCCGGTGCCGCCCAGAGGGCTCCACGGAAAACACAGTTTGGAGAACGGTCAATGTACAGGACAGAGCTGGCCTGTGGCCAGACACACCTGACCTTGAACTCCAGCTCTGTCTCTGATGAGCTGTATGGCTCTGGGCACGTGTCTCCCAAATAGGAAGAACAACACACATCCGTGGGGCTGTTGCGAGGACCCAGGAGAGGTGCTGGGACAGTAATTTTCATTCTGACTGGGTGTCCTCCCTGACATGCAGGGAGCGGCCAGGCCCACCGTCCTGACCCGCGTGCCCTGGCCCAGGCTTGTTCACCTGCTCAGGGGTTGGCGTGATGGGTGAGTCGCTGGGGAGCACGACTGGAGTGGGCAGAGGAGCCGTGTGCTGGCTGTTCCCCCGGTGGTTGGCGTCGGTGCCCACAGAATTCTGTCCTGATGGTGTCTCCGAGCTGAACACGGTCTGGAGAGTAAACAGCTGGATCAGCGAGGCCAGCAGGGGCCCCCGGGAAGCGGCTGCAGGAACCTCTTGTGGCGCCTCCCCCACCCACTGCTGTCCCATGAGTCTGCTCACCCTCTGGGGCGTGTGGATGGGCGACAGCATATCTAGGTCGGTCATCGGGAACTCCAGACCCTTCCTCCGCAGGTCCTCGTAGACGGCGACGACACCCGTCAAGTCAGGCGAGCTGCGGAACGCGTCAGCCCAGGACTGAGAGGGGACAAGGGGACATGACCGGTGACCACTGCTCACTGAAGCCCTTTTAAGCTTACCTACCCGCTCCCCAGGGAACAGCAATTCCATCCCTGACCCACTGGTCCTTTGACTGCGTCACCCAGATGGCCCACTGCACAGCAAGGCCCGCAGTGGACAAACCCCTCTCACACTTGCAACGTCCAATCAGCGAACAACCAAGGCGGCCCCGGACAAGAAACGGGGTGAAGCCGACGGGAAGAGAGCAGCAGCGGCATGAGCTCCCTTCTCCGGCCCAGGGCCCAGAGCTCCGTCAGGGAAGGACGCTGGCACCAAGCTCTCCCCCGCTGCTCCGTGTCCCCCGCACTCACCTGGATGAGGTTGAGCACCTTGTCGTGCACGATGGTGGGTGGGTTGTTCTTGGGCAGGATGGTCCTCACCAGCACACCCTCCACGAAGTCCTGGCTGGCCACCAGCACGTGGAAGCGGTGCCCACAGTTCTTGACACAGGTTTCCAAGACCTGGAGGCCGGGAAGCGCCCACAAGCACCCATCAGAATGAAGCACCCAGGGAACCCCCATCTCCCACACTCTGTGCATGCCCCGGGGGGCAGCCTGAGAGGACGGGGCTTTCTGAGGTGAGGCCTGGCACACGGAGGAGCAGAGTCAACGTCGGGATTCCAGGCTGGTTTACTGGAGGGCGGGGCTGGGTGGGCAAGGGGCAGTGTGCTGGCTAGGGGCCCCTCACTACGTGGCCTTCATGCCCACAGAATCCCATCCTGATGCTGTTTCTCAGCTGAATACAGCCTGCAGAGAAGGTGGCTCTCCAGGTGGAGGCCAAAGAGAACTTTCCGTCAAGTGCTGACCCTGCGGCCCCCATTCCTTCTTCCCATTCTGGGGGGGCGTGGCCTTTGCTTTCCGGCATGGCCGGATTCACCGGGATATAATGCTGCTGCGGGGCAGGCTGGCACAGAGCCCTCGCCCGCACTTCCCAGCCAAACCTGCCCCAACAGCCAGCATGCCCACTGCTGGGCCCCTTGCACTGTGGGCAAGGCCTGTCCTCAGCCACCAGCATTTGTTTTACTCTCATTTCTCAGGCAAGGTGTCCAAGAGCCAACTGGGCCTCCCAGGCTTTCTGCCCCTGAGACGTGTGGGCTCACTAAGCTTCTCTGTCCCCCATAGGCCCTTGGCTCAGGCTCTCCGTGTCTGGTCTGGAGGGATGGGGGCCTCACTGTGCCTGCTCCCGAGCCAGCAGGTTGGAGAGAACTTTTTCCAAGGGGCCTCTCCTGCCACTCCATGTCTGCCAAGAGCGTAGCTATAGCACAGTACTTGGCCCGCGGGCCTTTCCTGCCCAGCCCCCGGAAGGGGAGCCCCACGGTGACTGGGAGTCCTGCTGGGCCTCGGCAGGCCATCCCAGTGGACCCGGGTCCTGCCATGGACAGGCGGACAGACAGGACACTCACCGTGAGAGCCAGCATCACCTCGTGGAAGTTCTTATTCCCCGTGATTCTCTTCTTGATCGCTCGAAAGGCATCTTTGGGACTGGGCAGAAGGACAAAGGGAGGACGGGCTGAGGCCTGGGGCCTCCTTACCCGACATGGTGCTGCCTGCTTACAGTAGGGGGCTCTGGGCAGCGGGGGTGGCTCTTATTAACCATCCTCCCTGGGACCTGTCCCTGTTTCCTGTGGGCCCAGGTTCTAATCACATCACACTCTGCCTGCTCTACCAAAATCCTCTTGGCAGGTCTTGACTAGGTGGCAGGGACTGCCAGCGTGTGGTCCCTGGGCTCCTGCACCACAGCACCGTAGTGGGGAATGTTTGTTAAACATGCAGAGCCCTGGGCCCCCACTCTCGGGCCCCAGGACCACACTCTGAGGGGATCTGCGTGCCCCCCCATGCCCAGCAGCTTCATGCAGGCTAGAGTTTAAGAGCCAGAACTGTGGGCACAGAGTCCTCATGCCCCATCCTGGCCGGCTCCCCTACCTGTCCACCCTTGCCCTCAGGTCTCAGTAAGAACCCCCGTGTGCTGGCCCCCTGCCGGGTGCCTGGGGCGCCCTGGTGAACAGGTCCACGCGGGTCCAGGGGCCCTGGTGTCAGTGGGGGAAACAGTGGGTCCTGTGGAAACAGTGAGTGGGTGTGGGGAGGGGTCAGGGAAACGGTAGCGTGACAGCTGGGTGAGGAGGACGAGGTGGGCCAGCCCGGAGAGCAGGGGCAGGGACGACAGAGGCAGGAGCCAGACCAGGGCTCTGCGTAGGGAGGGACGAGAGACGGTGGCGCTGGGGGTGGGGGAGGGTGAAGGAGGGCCTGAAACGTGGTGGGAGGGGGACGCGCCTGCATGCAGAGGGCCCAGGAGGCCTGCGTGGCAGCCTGCTCCCCCTGTCCCATCCGTAACTTTACTGTCACCCCATGCCTCGCCCCTGCTCTCTGCCCCTCAGCCCTGAACAGGTGACACTGATATTGCCCAGACCGGCCGCGCTTGCCTAAAAGCCTTTGTGGTCCCCCAACTCCCACGTCCTCGCCCACGATGCTGCCCCGGTCCTCCGCCTCCCTGGTGGCACTGACAGGGGCCTGCTGGCTAAACACGCCTCCTGGAGGCAGGGACCGCAGCTCCCCAGGGTCCAATACGCTGCAGCAGCTGTGGGAGCATGAGCAACGTTTCCTGGGCCAGGAAGTGGCTGTTGGGGCCTGTCCTGCTGTCTGCCCGGGAATCTGTCTGCCTGTCAGTGCCAACCAGTCCAGGGCAAGCAGGGGAGTTGGGAGCCCTGACACGGGTGGCCCACCATGAGAGGCGGCAGCAGGAGCCTTCCTGGGAACGGACTCCGGGAGGGGCAGAGCCACGGAGGCCCGTCGGGCGGTGACAGAGAGGATACTTGGCGCAAGGGGCCCTGGACCCTGATGGCGCTGGGCCTGCCCCAGAAGTGTGAGGCAGGTTTTCAACCCCACGCCCTGGGGCCAGCTCCTCCCTGGGGCAGCTGCCTTCTGCCCCTGGCTGGGCCCCTCCGGCTGCAGAGGGGCTTGCCTCCACTCTTGACAGAGGGTCCAGAGGACGGTCACGGTGTTAGGAATCAGAAGTCTTGGTGTGTGCGCCACTGCTGTGGGCCTAGTGTGTTCCTGGCACTCTGCTAGGAGCCCAAAGCGGATGACAAGGAGGCCACCATACAATGGAGGAGAGGAAAAGAGACTCAAGTTTAGATGACAAGTTAGTGCGGCGAGGGACTGCCTGCTTGGCGCCCGCTGGGTCCCCTGCGCCTGGCACAGTGCCTGGAACATGTGCATCTGAGCCCCAGCTCAGTCGGCGTTTACGAGGAAGATGGAGCCTTGCCTCCCCAGGGACTCAGCAGTGAGTGCAGCCCCGTGCACGAAGCCCCGGGCCTTTTCAGGTCCCATGAGGTTTTCTCCTCCTGTCTTTTCTCTTGGTGGCCCTGCCATCTGCTCACCCTCCATTCTTGTAAGCCCCGACACAGGTAAGAGAATCCCTCTACCCCCAGCTCCAGAAAGCCCACGGCACACTGCTGGGGACGTGGGAAGGTGCCAGTGGCTCTCCCGATTGGCTTTGGCTGGGCGATGTGATTGCCCGCAGCGATCCTTGGGCTCCGAGCTCGTGCCCGCTGCCAGCTGCCAGCCTGCCCCCGCACAGGGAACAGCCTGGCTGAGGGGACCCCTCAGGGAACAAGTGGATGTCCCAGTGAAAAACGGAGAGGGGAACGAGATCCTGCTCCAGGGCTCATCCTGATTTTCCAGACTAAGGCCTTGCCCGGCTGCACTTCCTGCCGGCAGGAGTCACCACACCCCTCTCCACCCTTCCTGGACTCCTCCTGAGATGGAGAGAGGACGCTGCATTCCTGCTCTGCCCCCTCAGGGCCTTGGGATTACGGCTGGAAGGACTGAGAACAGTTTTGCCTTTGAGAACAAAGATCCAGAGAGGTAAAGTGACTTGTCCAGGGTCACACAGCCGGTCAGCGACGGCTGTCAGAGACCAGGAGCCAGGACCGGGGTGCTGCCCCCAGCCACGAAAGTGCTCGCTTGGCAGGGCTCCTGGATGCTCTGCAGGACACTGAAACACTCGGCCGAGGCTACTCAGCCCTGCCTCACGTTCCCTGCCCTCCCCGGGACGCCCGCCCTCCCTGCTGGTTTCTCGCATTAAGGAAATGAAAGTCTGTTCTTGCTCCCTGAGAAAGCTGGGCGCCCCTCTCCCACGTGCCAGCGCTCAGAATGCAGAAAGGTGCTTGGGGCCGCTTCTTCATTCTGAGTTGCCAGCTGGCCTTGTCCTAAGAAGATGCTGCCTCAGTGACGTCTTAGGGGGAGCTGGTAGGCTGATGCGCTGCTGGAAGGCTGCGCGGGCTCGCAGCATCCAGGGGACTAGCCAGCTGCCCGCCCGGCATCTCTGGGCCTCTCATCCATCTGGTGAGAGGGCCGACGGGGTCTTGGTTCTAAGATACCACGTTCCTGCCTGAGGTGGGGCTTAGATGCCCTCTCTGCAGCGCCTCCTGGCAGCAAGGGTCACAGAAGGGTCTGCCTTTGTGTACAGAAGTGGTGGGACTGGGGTGTGGGGGGGTCCTCTGGCAGATGGCAGGCTGTGGCGGAGTCCACGCTGCGCGTTGCACTTGGCTGTCCGGCTGGTGCCCCGACTTACCCTTCCTCCGTCTCGTTGATGATGTCACAGATCTCCATGTTGAGGGCCCAGTCCTCGCTCTGCAGGGAGCCATCTGTAGCTTTCTCTGAGGAGAAGGAATGACTGGTCACTGTCACAAAGGATGTGGGGTCCCTGACAACAAACTCAAACAGTGGGATGGGAGTGTGTGGTGAGGGGGTGGGGTGGGAAGAGATGGCGGCGAGGTGGGACAGGAGGTGCTTTCTGGGCACCTAAGAAGAGCCAGGCATTGTGTAAATCTGTTACCTACATCACTTAATTGCTATTAGCAAGCCACACCAGCTGGGCGTGCCACTCTCCTCTGCCAGCGGAGGAAGCCGTGGCTCAGAGTTCCAAACGCGTGAGCAGGTACAGGAATCCAGCAGGGCTGGTTCAGAGTGCTTGTTGTTTTTTTTTTTAAATTTAATGTTTCTTTATTTTTAGAGAGACGGGAAGGGAGGGAGAAACAGAGGGAGAAAAGTATCAGTGTGTGGTTGCCTCTCACGCGCCCCCTGCTGGGGGCCTGGCCTGCAACCCAGGCCTGTGCCCTGATTGGGAATCGAACTGGCGACCCGGCGCCCACCCCACTGAGCCACACCGGCCAGGGCAGAGTGCTTGTTTTCGACAGGCCAACACAGACAGTGTTTTGTCTTGCTTTCGCAAATAAAATATTTCTTTTGACTTGGTAACTATTCACGTGGCCCCAGAAGTTCCAAAGCGGCAAACAGTGCAAGTAAACCTATCCGCCTCCCCTGCCCCCACTCCCCAGAGGCCCCCACGAGACCCGTTTCCTCTCCCGTCTCCCAGAGGCAGTCGTCACCGACGAAGGGAAAGCCGGACGCTGCTGCCAACCGGCGGCCTGGCCTCGGCCTTCCCCCTGGAGCCAGGCAGACTCCCAGCTGCCCTGCGGAGCTGCCCTGTGGGGCGACGGTGCAACCAAATAGGTGCTCAGGAAGTGGTGGTGGCAGTTCTTTTTTTTCCTAAGTTGAAGGTCACATAATATAAAATTAATATTTTAAAGTGTACAATTCACTGGGTGGTGAGCACACAATCTAATATACAGATGATGTATTACAGAATTGTACACTTGGCTGAAACCTGTATAATTTGGTTAACCAGTGTCACCTCAACAGATTCACTAAGAAGAAGAAAAAATTGTAGCCTTGAAACCTATATAATTTTATTAACCAATGTCACCCCAATAAATACAGTAAAAATTAAAAAAATAAAGTGCACAATTCAGTGGCACGTAGTACATCTATAATGCTGCGCAACCACCACCTCTATCCCGTTCTGGTTGTGCTGACTCTCAGGGTTAGATATCCAGGCCGAGAGCCAGCCACCAGGGCCTCCAAGCCCGTCAGGGCCAGGCTCCGGGGCGACTGGCTGAGAGCTGCTCGGGCCGGGCTCCTCCCGCGGAGGACGGTGTCTCCAAAGGAAGGCCCAGCCCCTAGGGCAACTCCCTGGGCGGGGCCCACACTGTTGGCTCCTCTTAACCTCAGCGCCTGCGACCTTAGTTTTGAAATTGGACTGATATCATCCACCCTGGGTCCCGCCTTGGGCCCTGTGGCCAGATGGATGCCAGGATGGCCCGGGACACATGCCAGGCAGCTGAGCCATCCAGTTGGGACCCAGCAGCAGGGTGGGTTGCTTTAGTCTCCACCTTATGGCTGGGGGAGGGGACAAGGAAGGGCTCCCTTTAAACGGGTTGACAGATGGACTCGTGTACCCTACAATCACATCCTGAGTGTGTCTTCTTTGTGTCACATTCTCCACCCTTGGGGACCCACACAGTCCCTGAGCTACATGGGAAGAACCAGAGAGCTGGACAAGTACCCTCTGAGCAGAGGGGGCCAGCCCTGCTCTGGAGGGTTTAGGGCGTAGTAACTAGTCACCCATCCAGAACCTGCTCCTTCTTCAGAGGCCACATCTCAGGGACCCCCAGGCACACGGGCCGGAGGAGTTAGTCGCCCCGACTCCGGGACTCCCTCTGACTGGCACATTCCAGCTCCTGACCAGTTCCACCCTCCCCACCCCCTGCGCACCCGCCCTCTACCGCTGCCCCAGCCGGCCGCCTCCTCTACCTCTCGGACCCCGGCCTCACCCCCCCACATCTGTTCTCCCCGCTGCCCAGCGTGTACTTTCTGAACCTTGGAAGCAATTGTGTCCCTGTGCACCCTAAATCCTTCAAAGGCCTTGTAGCCTCAGCCAGGCCTCCAGGTTCTTCATAAGCAGCGCTTGAACCTCCCTAGTTGTATACACACAGCACCTGGTGCTGTTGGCGGTTCCACAGAGTGCACGCTGCTGCCCTCATATCGCTGTTGAGGCGCACAGGGGTCACGGAGAGGCAAGGGGGGAGCAGCAAGGGGGCAGCACCCACTCACCCCGCCTCTCTTCAGGGGTCGGGGAACTCTGCTGTCCCAGAAGCGTTCTCTGGACCACCCAGGCCCCCTGCTCTTGGCTCTGCCACCAAGCCTAGTGGCAGTCCCTCCATCAGCTCCCTCAGGACCCCCAGGGAGCCCTGAAAATGGTGGACACCTCCCTTCCCCTGGGGGAGAGAGCACAGGTTTTAGAAGGGACTATGGTCACTTCAGAAACGCAAGTAGGCGGTTAAGGGGGCAGCTGGATAGCTGTGAGGCTGGCCTGCCCTCCCAAGGGATCGGGGTGGGTGCAGAGGGACTCGAGCACGAGCCTGATGCCCACCTGGGCACAGCCGGCACATTCTGCAGTCCTCAGTGCCAGCACTGGGCAGAGCCACCCGGGGCATGGTGTGGTTTGGGGGGGCTGTGGGGGGAGAAGGGGAAGGCCAGTCAGACTAAATAGGAACGGGAAGACGATGACGCAGAAGAGAGCCAAGGCCGATCTGAACAATGTCGGCAGAAGAAAGGTGTGCCCAGGTCAGCGTGGGCCCAGCCCATCCATCAGGGGCCAACTTCCTTCCCTCAGGGCTCGGACTGGACTGCATGATTGAGGAGACGTCCTTAAATCAAGGTTTCCATGGGGTAGGTCTGTTCCATTAAGGGCAGAAATGGTTTCTGGGCATACTCGTTTTATTCCTGAGTTTAACCACAAAAGTAACTCAGCTTGCTATTTTAAGGGGGAATAAAAACTGACAATGGTTACCAGGTCCAAGAGAATGACAGCTGACTTCCTGACCTCTGAGCTGTTGGCAGTGACCTTCAAAGGCCCCAGCAGCAGTTCTGCTCTTGTCCCCCGCTCCTGCGGAAGCCAGGCCCGCAAACCTCCCCCGCTGCGAGGCCACACCGCTGTCTTGGGCCGGCCGGCCTGTGGGTGCAGATCGCTGGGCACCTGTCTGCTGCTTGCAGCCTGTCCTCTCTATGCCGGGCCTGGTGCAGACACCGCCTCCCCAGGGGGCTCCAGAGGGCCTGCCTGGTGCGGTGGCAAGCCAGTCGGGCTGGGCAGTGGCAGAGGTTTGGAGTGGGACAGGTCTGACCCCGCCTCTCCTCTCGGAGACCCCGGGCAAGGATCCAGGCCCTCTAAGTGTCCATTTTCTCACTTGTCAAACACAGATAAACCTGGGCTTTGCAGGACACTGAGACTGTTCAGCCAGACAATGTGTATACAGTGTTGGGCAAAGAGCAGTGACCAGCCATTGCTAAGTACCACGACTTGGGCGGGGAGTAGGAAAGAGTGGCCACCAAAGACACGTGGCCCTTGGCCCCTGGCCTCAGCCTGTTCACCTGTTGGGGGTGCTGAGCAGCTGGAGGGCAGCAGGCCTTGCCAGCCACAGGGGAAGCCCTGCTCTTTCCACTGCTTTGGAGAAGGCCATTTCTGCAGGTGCTCAGTAGAACGTGGTCAGCGTCATGGCTACAGGCCACACTGACCTTCTATTCCCCGAGTCAGCCGGGAGAGGACCAGCCTAGAACCTTCTCCCTGCCCTGCACGTTCAAACAGTCCCTGAGTTCTGTGAACTCCTGCTGCTCCATGTGTCTCGGAGCTGCCCCCTCACCCCATCATCACTGTAACAGCTCGGGGTCAGGGCCTGTCCCCTCCCCCGCAGGCCTGGGCCGTCGCCGCCACACTCTTCCAACATAAATCCAAGCAGCATTTTGCTCTAAGAATTGTCCAGGGCCTCCCTCCCCTTCACTGCCTGAGGGTCAAACCTGAACTCTGCGAGGGACACTGGGACTGACCTCAGCGGCCATCGGCGGTGCCCTCCCCACTCTGCGGGTCTTCCTCCTCCACGCCTCTGCCTGGAGTGTCTTTCTCCCACTCCGCCAGGCCTCAATTCACAGAGGATCGTGACAGCCATGAGTACAAACACCCACCGCCACCAGCACACTCGCCGGGCACTCGGCATGCACTCAGCAAGCCCGGCAGCCCCCCCCAGAGTCCTCAGACCGCGGGCACGGAGGGCACAGCGCCTTGCCTGGGCTCACACAACCTGTAAGCTACAGAGCAGAGATTAGAACCAAAGAGGTCTGGCTTCCAAATCTATACACTTTTCTCTTTTTTAAAAAGGTTTCCTTTCTGCCTTTTCTATTTTTTTTTTTAAAATATTTTTAGAGAGAGAAGAAAGGAGGGAGAAAGAGACAGAGAGAGAGAGAGAGAAACACTAATATGTAAGAGATACAGTGATCTGTTGCCTCTTGCACACCCCCAACTGGGGACCTGGCCCGTGACCCAGGAATGTGCCCAGACAGGGAATCAAAACAGTGACCTTTCGGTTCTCAGGTCGGCACCTAATCCACTGAGCCACACCAGCCAGGGCCAAATCCATACTCTTAGCCACTGTGTCACGGGACTCTCCAATACACTCAAAACTTGTTGTCCAGGGCCCGGGGAGACCTCAGTGAGCAAAACTGACCAGGTCCTGCCCTCAGGAGGTTCACATTCCAGTGGGAGGCCACCACTGACATTGTAAAAGGCAAAAAGGCCACGACAGAACAGACCAGGTGCTGAGTCAGGGCAGGGGTGAGAGATGTGGACGTGTCACGTAAAAGAGGAAGTGCATTGGTGTATCCCTGCTCATCCTTTAAGGCCTTACTGCAGCGTCAGCTCCTCGGCGTTGCCGCCGACTGGGTAGACTGTGTCATTTGTCATCCTGCACTGTGACAATAACATCAC